TGGGTAGGTCTGAGAGGGAGTGAGAAGCTGCCTAGGAAAAGCATTGTTTTTCAGTGTTTTTAAAGCAAGAGAAAATTAATTTTGTGACCACTGCACTGACTGTAAAAGTCATTAATCTTGTTCTGCAATAATGAAGCCAAGATTCAGCATTTATAGTCTAAGTATAGAGATCTATGCTGGTAAAGATAGAAGGAATGGAATACAAATCATATGTTATATACTCCTAACACATTACATAGCCTTCAGAGAGTATATTTTCAAGAATTCTTAATGAAATGAGAAAAATCTCTCCGTTGTGTTAAGTAAAAGTTTAGACTGTGCATTGCATGTAAATTTAGATATGTCTGTGTAGAAAAAAATGAATAAACCAAAATGAACGTATATATTTATAACCACTCTTTCCTGGTAGTGAAATTCTGTGTAGTTTTTTTATTTCGTTTATACTTTCCCACATTTTCAGAATTGCCCAAAATAATTATGTATGCTTTTTATGATCAGTAAATTATTAATAGTAAAATATGAAGAGCATGACCAAAATTATAATGCAGGGCTGTATAGCTAATAGCTGGACATAGTGGTGCATGCCTGTAATCCCGGCACTTGGGAGGCTAACGCAGGAGGATCGCCATGAGTTTGAGGCCAGCCTAGGCTGTACAGTGAGTTCAAGGCCAGTTTGGATTACATAGCAAGATGCTGTTTCAAAAAGAAAGAGAAGAAGAAGGAGGAGGAGGAGGGTTTAGAGGGTTTAGGGTTAGGAGTATAGCTCAGTGGCATAGTACCTGCCTGGCAAGCATGAGATTCTGAGTTCAATTCCCAGTACAAAAAAAAAATAGTTTAAAGGGAGAAAAGTTAAATACCTGCAAACACGCTCCACCCAGCAGACATGAGAGGCTCACCAGGTAACTTTGCTTTGCAGGTATCCAGGACCACAGACACTCAGACCCACCTGGAGAGCCATTTGTTCAACATTGCAATCTTACCACAGACACCGGAGGCACCTCAATTCTCTCTGGCAACGTCTCTCCATATGACCGTGAGTTGGTGGTAGGGCTGTAGGACAGACTGGATGCAGTGTCCTGGTTTGTATGTAATGAGTGTTGACCCTGAGTGCAGACTCCAGGGCCAAAAATAGCAGTAAGTACATTTTCACTGACTTGCAAAAGAAACCTAAAATTTTCAGGCTGAATGGAAGATTATGTGAAATCCATTTTGACCTTCCAGCCATTGCCAATGTCCTTTCCACAGTATCCCACACAGTGACTGAGTATGTGGAAGAAATTTCAAACTGTTCCATGCCATCCACATAACCTGTGTGTAATTGTTCAGCCAGTCACGATGCCACTGAGCTGGAGAAGGTGTTACTCATTTTTCAAAAGCTCTATCAGAAGTTCCCTTGTTTTGTATAAAGTACAAATTAGGAGGCCAGTTGGGTGGCATGGAGAGATAACGACAAAGGACAGGACCACCCGTGCAGAGAGCACATGAGAAGGTGAGGGAGAATGTCACAGTCAGTTGGAAAATCTCAGAACCCATAAGACTGGAGAAATGATAAAGGCAGGAAAGGGATGTGGAGGTTGTGGTGCCCAATCTCAAAAGACCCCATGTGCTGAGTGGAAAGGACTATGTATCAAGGAACAATCTAAAGAAGAGTGTCACCTCAATTAGCCCGTGAAGTACAGTTCCAACAATTAGCAACTCCATCATAACTCTGTGTCTGTGGGAGTTGGGATTACTAGAGTCATTCTCCCAGACAGAGGTACAAGCATGCAATCCCCTGTAAATTAATTATTACATATCCTTGTTGTAGTTAGTAACCACATAATACACTCCACAGTAGAGTATCAGCCTTGAGCCACAACAAAGAGAGCAGTGAAGGTTTCCGAAATTATGGGTCTGGGGCATGACAGAGACATAAAGGGGAAAACAGACAGTTTTTAATGAAGAGCTGGTATCTAGGCATTTCCACCATAAACTGTAATTTAAAGACATAATAATTCAGCAATACTATGAAGTCTATAATTCATCATTCTCACTGGAGGAACTTGGATCAGAATTTTCTCCATAAACTGTAAATAAAAATGTGCACACACACTTCTTGCCAAATATTAATCAGTGCTATTTTGAGTTAGGGGGAAAAGGGCCTGGAGCCAAGGCGGTGGTGCCTTTCTACCCAGTTGCTGTGGGCCATTTAAGAAATTTTGAGTTGTTCAGCCTTGAGGTTCTTAGATTGTGCGTTTGCAAATTAGTTCTGTCCTGTTGAAATTTAGGCTACCTAAACAAGTGGTTTACTGTGTTGAACTTCCTCTTGTGGACCTTGCAATGTACATAGTTTATATTTTTTGACAGTAACTAGGTCTTTTACTCCAAATAAAAATACATTGTTAATTCAGGTGTTTGGACTCATTCACAAATTTTGCATATATACAGTAAATACATATATGTGATATTCATATATGTATAAAAAAGCAGATCAAAGTTCTCTCTTAAACTTAATCTTGTATTATAGTTACCTATAGTTTGATAACATAAAGATTATCGGAAACAATCCTTTGGTTTTTTTAGTTTAGTGAGTGTGATGTGGAGCCAAGAATCTACATTTTTTGCCAGGCATGTTGGTACATGCTTGTAATGCTAGCACCTGGAAGGCTAAGGCAGGAGGATCACTGTGAATTCAAGGCCAGCTTGGGCTACAAAGTGAGTTCAAGGCCAGCCCGAACTACATAGTGAAATCCTGTCTCAAAAAAAAAAATCTACATTTCTAACAAGTTCTCAAGTGGTACTGACAGTGGCTGAGATCACCACCCTCAAGAAGGGCTGATCTAGATTTAAACTGGTGAAATTCAGAATCTGGAGCAGCCACTAGAAAAACATAGAGACACTTTAGGGCACAGCCTCCTTGGGTAATTAAAGGTCACTCAGTTGGCCAGATTATAAGTCCCTATGTAAAAAGACAGCAAAAAATGATAGTCAGGTCATAGAGGACCTTAAAGATAGATAGAATTCTCATTTCATTTCAAAATAGGGATGGGGCAGTATTGAAGGATTTAAAGCACAAAAATCCCATAAACAGAGTTTTAGTGATCAGATTAGGAAAATCATTTTGGCTGATGGCAGAGAACATCCTCAGTGGGGGCTACACTGGAAGCAAACTATCACCTAGACCAAGAAAGTTTGGTGGCATGAAACCCAGGTAGTGGCAATAAGGGTTAGGATCAGAGAGATCTTGAGGAGGTGCTTGTACAACCATGTTCAATAGCCAAAAGGTAGAAGCAGTTTAAATGTTCCTCAACAGTTTAATGGATAAGAAAGATGCGGCATACATAAAGATAGATAGATATGTGCATACATGCACATATGCATGGTTACACAGTGGTGTATTATTTGGCCTAACAAATGAGGAGATCCTGTCTTATATGCTGCATCATAGATGACCTTTGAGAACATGATGCTAAGTAAAATAAGCCATTCACAAAAAAGACAAATACTGTATGATTGTTCATGGGGATATAGGGTTTCAGTTTTGCAAGAAAAGTTCTGTAGATCTGTTGTACAATGATGTGCATTTCGCTAGCACTACCGTGCTGTATTTAAAAATGGTCAGTGTGGGGTAGGAGAGAGAGAGATTGGAAATACAGAGATGCCACTCATTGAGTCAGGAATATGCAGGGCATGACAACCTCAATTTGGAGTCTGCTCATACAGGGTGTACTGGGAGCACAGGGAGTGAAAGGAGAGTAATTGATGTGACCCCACAGATATGATCAGCATGTCTTGGGGCTCACCTTGTGTAGGGTCACAGTGGCCATAATAAGCACTTGCTTTATATTCTGAGTGAGGCAGTGCTGAGCAGAGGCCTAGCTTGAGGCCTAATGTCTGTCCCTACATGGACAGGGCAGCTGAGAGCGTTCAGGAGGCTATGATGCGGCTTGGGTGAGAGACTGGCTCCCAGCAGTGGTGACAGTGGAGAGGCAGGGAGGAGGGAATAGATTCCGGGCTTATTCAGAGATAATATGAATATTATGAAAGTCATTATTCTGTAATTTTCATTTGTTAACAAATATGTGATAAAAATGTCTCCTGCAATGATCTCCATGAAGTTTAATCTCTCATTTCATACTATACTTAATTGATAAATATTGAACATTCCAAGTCACCAATATGAAAATTGATTGCACTTTGATATATCTCAATCTCAGTATTGCTTCCCTCAGAGAATTGCATCTATCCTCATTTTCTTCTGCCTACTGTCTATTTACATTAGTAAAGAAATAGTATCCATAAATTCCAAAATAGAATGTCTGCTGTCTTGGCTGGAACGTATTTCCCATTCCATAGTCCTGTGTCCATGATCATTCTCTCATCTTATCACATTGTTGATTTAGGAACGTCTAAGTTTTCAAAAGCATTCCACGACACTGAGAACTCTCAGTTATTATGGGGGTTTTAAGATTAAAGGTGATAAGTGGAGCTGAACTGCCCTGAGTCTGTACCTCTGTGTCCCTGTGTTTGTACCTATACACAAGTCAGCTGTAAACACCTTATATAGGGCACATATTTTTAACTAGTTGTCCGTACTTGTTTTATTTTAGAGTGAGAGACCAGCTGCTGTTCACAATTCTAATTTTCCTTGCTCATTACATTCCAGATCTAAGCAAGGGCCTGAAATATGACTCTTTTCTATAGGGGGATTGTCCCAACCTGCAGATGCCGCCTCTCCCCAAGACAAGTATGCCTTGGGGACGATTACAAGGCAGCTACAACCTTCAATCTTTTTATGATTAAAATGAAGAATACCACACCCTCCTCTGGGAGCATTACTGAGCCCCACTTAATCCTTGTCTAAATGGGGAAATTTTTTCTGAAAAGAGGCAGAGCCTCAAAAGAGCAAGAGAACATGTCAAACTCAAATCTACCTTCAGGGGTCGGTTAGGAAGGTCCTGAAACAGGCAGGATGTCTTGTTCTGTTTTAAAACAGCACACAAAACCCAAGCAAAGGCCAGTGCTGAGACTAATTTTTCATTTTCTTCAGCCGTGTTTTTGCTGCTGCTGTGCCCAACCCACAGTCATGGTAGTCACAAGTGTCGGGCTCTTCATGGATTTTGAGTGCGGCCCAGGTTGTGGGCAGTGGATGTGCACAGGTGAATTAGTAATGAGAGCAGCATGCACCTTTGTCCTCTGGGTCACATTGCTGGACTCATTCATTAGGTTCTGGAAGATAAAGAGAAAAGCAGTGTCTTGTTTTGATGAATAGTAGAATGAAGACAGAGACATATTGTCTATTGTCAAGTGCCTTAATCAACAAATAGCTCTTAAACCTTTCAATGCAAAAGGCAAGATCTCTTGGGTTTTAAGGCAGGTTCATTTTTAGCCCTTAGAAACCAGAAAGCATCACAGCCCCCACTAGCAAAGCTCAAGGTTGGCAGCATTGTGCTGGAGAATCGTGGAGGCCAAGATTTAAGCCTCTTGGCTGAGTCTTTGGATCTTTTTATCAGTTTCAATCTTTTTAGCCCGTCAAGTTAAAGGAACAGAAATGTGGTGAGCCAGCTGTGAAGAGCAGACTAGAATAGCCAGCTGTGGCTTCATTTCTTGTGTTCCACTGCAAGCTCTACCTAGGGATCCCCATCATACGGAGAGATGTAGACCAGCGGGCAGCATACTCAGAAACTCTGAAAAGGCCTCTGTGACCCTGAGAGGTTCCTGAGACCAGGGCAAATCTGCTTGAAGGAGACCCAATCCTTCTTTTGAACTCTTGGAGAAAATTCTGTTAACTGTGTCTGATTTAAAATCCCAGAGTGAATGTGTTTTGGTTTTCTTAATAAGATTCACGTTTGCCCCTGGATTTGGCTTTCCCCCACCCCACTTTGTCTTTCTTTCTAAACTTAGGCTCGTGAAGATGGCCTGACAGTCATTCAGCCTCATTCCCTGTCCTTTGTGAACTCCAAGAGGCCCAGTGGGAAGATGGTATACAATATCACTCTACCTCTGCACCCAAATCAAGGTAAGATGGGTGTGGAGTGATCTTTGCAGTGATTCTATAATCTGTTAGTTGAGGATCAGTCTTTAAAACAGGAGGTTTGGGTGCTTATTTACATGTTAAGTTTTTAAGGAGTTACAGTGATGCCTACCCTGTGTTCTCATCCTCCAGTTAAGAACAGATAGATATGAACTGCCGAAGAGGACTATATTGGCTTCGGTTCCAATAGAGCTATAGGGGAGAACACAGTTGGTGTGAGCACTGTCTAACACCACTCGAAGAACCAGAAGCAGACAGGCATTGCCTGTAGGGACAGAGCCTGCCCCATCAGCTTGTGACCGAAATAAGCAAGTGCTGAGAAGGAAGTCTGTGGGAGCATAAGGGGCTGAGCCACACATGTTCATTCTGTAGAGGAGAAGTCAATCCTGCTCCCATGGGAACCGGAAAGTGTGGAGCTATGAGCACAAGAGTCCCTAGCCATTAAGTCTCTTAACACTGGGATTAATTAATTAATAGGATGATGTCAGTTGAAGAAAGGAGATCAGTTTCCGTGGATACCATTTGGCTCCTACCTTGGGACCACTCTCTAAGAGACCAGCCCTGCCCCTTGATAAAGACCAAAGAAACGTAAAGCTAAAAGGCATCTTTCCTTTTTAATTTGCCAGTTTGTAGCTAGAGGTTCTCCTTTCATTGTGAGTTCTTTCAGACAAGCAGCTCAGGAGAATAGCTGTTGGTCTTTCAGCTTCTCCAAAGGTGAACTAATTCAACACCAAGCCTCATATGCTGTACTTTTAAAGAGTGAGTAGAGCTTGCTGATTCACACATACTTATAACCTCAGCACTCTGGAAGGTTGAGGCAGGAAAATCACAAGTTTAAGCCCAGCCTAGGAGGCTCTGTGACTTACTGAAACCCCCTCTCAAAATAAAAAGTAAGAAGAGGGCTGGGGATATAGTTCAGTATGAAGGACCTGGGTTCCCAGTACTGGGAAAAAAAGAATGAATGAATGAATGAATGGGCCATAAATGCTGCATCAGTTCTGTACTGTAAAATTTATAAATGACAGGCAATTCTGCAGCCCCTAAAACATTGATCACAAGCCAGGCATGGTGGTGCACTCCTGTAATGCCAGCACTTGGGAGGCTGAGGCAGGAGAATTGTTCGCAAATTCGAGACCACAAAGTAAATGGGGGCTACAAAGTAAGCCCAAAGCCAGCCTGAACAGCATAGCGAGATCCTGTCTCAAAAAGATAAAATAATAACAACAAAAATTGATCACAAATCAAATGATAACCACAAAGCCAGTTCCTAGAATATTCAACCCATGTTACCATTGACAGATCATCACTGAGATTCTGAAGAAAAGAAGGAAAATTGAGAAAAATCTCTTTAACACAGCAATTGAAGACAGCCAGTAATAGTCTCAAGGACCTTGACCTCTGCATTGAAATGTGTTTGGAAGGATCTCTTAGTTATGGTGAAAATTGTGTGATTAAAGCTACATTGTGGGGATTGGTTTTCATCTTATACAACTAGGGTTTTAGGAACCCAAGTCAAGACTCTCTGGGTTGCAGATTTGGAGAACAACTTGCCAAGGACAGACTGAGCAGTAGGCTTTCAGTAGAGGGTAGCAGACTCTAACAGGGAGCCAGCAGCATCCCTTGAGAGTGACTGCTGATGCTCCTGCCTATCTCTTCTTCAGGTGTCCTTGAGCACAGGGACCGGCCTCTTTCTCCCATCCGGTATTTCACACAGGAAGACGTTAACCAGGGCAAAATCGTGTACCGGCCTCCCTCAGCACTACCTCACCTCCGAGAGATCACGGCCTTCTCCTTTGCTGGTAACACTGTCTCCTCTGCCTCGGGCACCTAGTTTGCACTCTGCATCTTCATGACCCACCCTGATGTGTCCCACAAGTCCTCTGGACAGTTTGGTGACATTGCTTTAAAAAGCTACTTGAAAAGGGGCTGGGGATTTAGCTCAGCGGCATAAGCGCCTGCCTTGCAAGCAGGCAGTCGTGAGTTTGATCCCTGGTACCAATAAAAAGGAAAAAGACAAAAAAAAAAAAAAAAAAAGCTACTCTAAAGAGCTTGTGCCCTATTAGCCAATAGGTGATGTGGGCTCAGTTCCTTCTTTTTTCCCACTAATTCATGCATCTAAGCAGACTTGCAATAAACTTATTTTGCGGCTCCTGTGTGCCAGCAACCTCATGGAGCATTGGAGATATGACATATGCTGAAAAAATATGGTAAATGTTTACCATAGTCAGACACATTGCCATCAGTTTTCCTCAAAGTGCTCCCCTCTCATCGAACATGCCTATCCTGTCATTCTTGCCACTTTCTCAAGCAGCCCTGGTAGTCCTCTTTTGTGTCTTGTTGTGGTGTCACAACTGACTTGATAGCCCCAATTGATTTCGCATTTACCCTTTGTGGTCATTTTGATTTGGGGGAAGAACCAGATGGTATGTGGTGCCAGATCTAGTGGATAAGGTAGATGAAGAATTCCAGGAATGCTGGTTCAAATCTGCTTTTCACGGGATGACACTCAGCAGTGGCATTCACTGTATTTTTTTTTTTTATCATAACTTGTAAAGGCACTTAGGAGAGAGAACTTTTGCAGAGCTGCTTCAGAAAGTGGCAAGGATGATGGTAAAAGTGTGTTTAAAGCAAGGTGGGGAGTATTTTGAGGTTGATAAATGGCAATATATCTTTAACTGTAATACTTTTTAAAAATCTAAACATTCACAGTGTATTTGATCACACTTTGTACACTGGTGAGCAAAGAGGGTGTGCGTGTAGATATAGGGATAATTGTGTAAATAACCCCAGCTGTGAATTGCACACTGGCATAGGAGCTCTGGAGAGACGGCAGGCCACTCCATGGTGGAAGGGCATGTACCAAGGCTGACTTACACTGAAGGGGGAGGGACCGCTCCAGAGCCTCCCAGTGCTGGGTAGGCAGAAGCTACTCAGGCGGCATGTGCATGCAGGGACGGCAGGGAAGGCGTTCCTGAAAGCAGAGCATGTGCCCTGTGTGCAGAGGCTTTGAGGAAAGAGATGGCTGAAGCTTTCCAAAGACAGTGCAGCTGTGACGCAGAGTCAGGCAGGGGAGGGATGAAGAGCCTGTGGGAGACAGGCCAGACCTCTGAGTCCCGTGGGCCTTTTAGGATTTGGGTCTTTATGGAATAAGGTGTTAAGACCCAGGGGCTGGCTTCTACAAGGGGCTCTTTGACTGCCATGGGTGGATGGGAAGCCAGTAAGGAGCCCCTGTAGGACTTCAAGGAAGGTGTCATGGAGAATACAGAATGAGGGTGACCTGTTTGGATTGGCACTCAGATTTGACAGGAAAGAATGAGACAAACAGAGTTTTTCATTGAAGCTGGTGCATGTCTTTCCACAAAACTATGATAGACTTAAACCTTACCACCGTATCTCTTCCCTTGATCAAGTTAGCAAAACTAACTGGAATGAATTTTTACCCTTATTTATATAGCTGTGCCTTTGGTCCTGAAAATCCTGAAACCTCTTTCTATATGACTTTTCGGATGTATGCGCCGTTTAGTACAATGACTATAGGGTATTTTACAGAGTAGATTTATTCATAAGGAAGAACTGAGAGTTTGTTATGGATTAAATAATTCTAGAAATTCTTATTATAATGGATTAAATATTTTAAAATTTCTTATTCTGGTAAATATATAATATATAGTTACCATTATTTAATTATTTCATCCAGAAACTAGCTCCTCAATTAGATTAAAAATCTCCAAGGATGGGAAAAGGCCCCTTCTCTGAGAAATTTCCCTCGTGTTTAGTAACTGGGTAACTAATAGGCCATGAAAATGTTCATGGTGCTCTATCCCCCACTTTACTAGACCTACTTTACAAGAAATCCCAAGGATATCCTGGTATTAGAGGCAAAGCAAACGTGTCAGCCATGGTTGAGGTAATTTCCAGATTTGTTACACTCATCTTAGATCTTAGTCTAGTTTGAGAGAGCAGAGCCCTGTCCTGATTACCTATGAGATAAATGCCACAAGATAAATCCCTTGCATGCTTACAGGGTGTAAATCAATGTCCCGGGCATCACTCAATGCTACAGTGGCATTGACCCACCCGAAAGCACTGTCAGTGATATACAGCATCGTCCACAGTCACCAATTTGTAGGAGTCTGTGTACTGATAAAACAGGATCTGAATGAATACATTATAAATCATTCTTAACTGCTGTTATATAAAATTATTCCACTATGTGGTTCATTTTGCTGTTTAAAATTATTGCTGGCATTATTAAATTCAGCATAACATTAGCAAATGACCTGCTGTTTCTTAAATCAAAATGAAAGAAATAAAACATCTTTTGCTTTCCTAATTTTTGTTCTATAGTTTGTGCCTTCCCCATCTCACTTTGATCCCAGAGTGTTTAGTATACTGATTTTCTGTTTTGTTCTCCCAGGTCTCCCAGAATCTGTGAAATTCCACTTCACAGGTAAAGACTTTAATCTCAGTTTTATTATAAAATGGAATTGCTCCTTCCCTTATTAATTTTTTTGCTCCCTTCATCATTACTTTGAGCTGTTTTCCAAGAGCTAACTAAAAGTTAGGACTTTTCCTCTAAAACAACTTTCTTCTACAATAATTATGTAGTTAGTTAAATAGTAATTGGTTACTTTTGTAGTCATAAAAATAATCTTCCTAAGATGCTTAAGATTGGTATTACTTAAAGCATAATTCAATTTTCCTGATATTTGTTAAAAAAGAGATAATCATGGTTGAGATCTGAAAGTCTGGACCCAAAGAGTTCAACCTCTCTTTCCTGACTTTCTCCCACATAAATGGAGTTCATCATCATCATCATCATCATCATCATCATCATCTATGTATAGCTCCCACAGCAATGATTGGCACATAATTATCCCTGAGTCACATTCAGCTAGTGAATAGTGGTTGTACATCATCGTGGGGGAAACCACTCATTGAATGCTTTGCTACTACAGGGAAAAGTCTTATGACCCAGAGTATGAGTTGAGAAATTCGAATGTAAAAAACCTTAACACCCTAGTGTTAGTTGGTACATGATAGAAGCTGAGTACGAATCAGCAAAAGCAGAGTCAGACCTGCTGTCTATGCTGAAGCAACATAAAGCCAAGCTTTCTTGTTTAGGTGAGAGTGAGGATGCTTGATCATAAATAGTATTTTTAATATAGTTCTTCAGATGGGATTGACAAACCTATTAGAATTAACTATCCATGTGTCCTGTTACATTTCATGCAGAGAGAAACCTTGGTGAGACAGAAAATCACTTCCCTCAAACTCCAAGGCCTTTCTTTCCTTTTTGGGGGTCAAAAATCACACTTGGATCCACAGTAGGTGTGGGGGATGTGTGACTGTTGATTAAAATCCCAATCAGCTCATTTCTAGTAATATGTCTCTAGCTAACTTATACAATCATTAATATATATATAACAAGGATCTTTTTTCCTTTTTTCAGAGGAACTTATACTAAATGTTGTCTTATTAATCTTTATAACACTATTACAAGTATACATTTTTTTCAGCATTTTAAAATTGAGGCTACTGAAAGTTACTAAGAGTAAATAATCTACCCAGATTTCCACTACACTAAAGAGGAGGACCAGGACTTGAGTACAGGTTTCTGGCACAGAGTTAGCTTTTTCTGGTGTGTGTATGTTGGATATGAAAAGCAAGTATCATACTAGTGTGCCTCAACTTTTACCTAGAAGTTTGAGTAGGTGAAGATTTAGCAACTGATTTCTCTAGGACCTTAAGTTAAATAAATGATCCTTGACCCTATTATACAGAATAAAGGGATAGACCTTAAATTATTTTCTTTTTCTCTCCAAGGTGTTTTTTTTTTTTTTTTGTGAAAAACTTTAGAATCTAATAAGAAGGAACTCATGTCCTTTAGAAGAGATTTCTGAGAGAGAACTGTAAATTGCTAAGGTAATTATAATCCTGCACTGGGATGTGAAGCCGTAGAATCAGAGAAAATAGCTTACTCTGGATAATCAGCTAAGAGGAGGAAGCAAGCCACATTCCTGCCCGACTTGGCTTTCTGACATGCACGGTTGCCCTCAAAGCAGTTCTGACAAGGAGCACACAGAGAGATGGTTGCCTGTAGGATGGGTTTAACCCCAAGAGGCAGTGAGATGTTCTGCAGAGAACCTGGGAATTTTACTTATGAAATGGGTCAAACACATTTTGACCATTAAATTCTTATATCTGCTTACAAAACATGACACCCATGTGACATATCTTCTAAGTTTGCCAGATATGCCCCAAATAGCTTTCTGCCACCTACAGACCAAGGATTTGCCTTGGTCACCCTGGAGAGCTGTGTAGGAGGACCAGAGGTCTTTGAATTGTAAAGCCTTTTCTTTCCTCCTCTATAAAATAAGGATATTGAAGTTTCTGTGAGCTTCCTCCCATTTAAAAATAAAGCCATTGTACGTTAAAACAAAAAAGTAAAGTTGTATTTTGCAATTATTTATTTTTATTTAATGTAGAGTATTTTTTAACTGTAAATTCCAAGAATCTCAGAGAGTCCTAAATTCACTGAAATTTATGGAAAAGTTACAGTGTTCCCAAAGCTTCCAAAGTTAAGAATCTTCTTCCTTTTGATCATCTGGAGAGGAGACTAAACGTAAAGGGAGAAACAACAGCAATAATTTTGACACTTTACTGAATGATGCAAGCCATAAAACTACGTCTGTGCAAATGCTAGCGCTGCTCCTTTCAGAGAGCTGCCTTCTGGACTTCTCTAGGCCATGCAGGGTACCTCAGACATCTTCTGCATTTTCCAATCTGCCTCAAGGATTAGTTAAACCTAAAACACGGTGCCCACAGGGTATGTTTAATCCAGAGAACATAAACCAAATCATGACTGGGAGTCACTGAGCAGTGCTTTGCTTTGTGTGAGATCAGAGTCCTAGTGACTGGCTACAAAGTGCTGTGAGGACAGAAAGCATTTTCTCATAGTGAGCCCACCAGCGAGCATATCCATCACAGTGTAGTTTTCTCAAAGCCACTCTAGATAAACAGTTTAATGATCAGATGACTCCTCCAATGTCCCCCCCACGCTAGGCTTTTGGAGAAGATATTATGCACTGATGTGCAGAAAAACAGAAAGAACAGTCAAGGATCAGGCAATTCTGACTTAATTTCCCTTAGGAAATCAATGCTCCATTGAAAAATGTGATACAGGGAAGTAAAACCAAAGGTCACTGTTTTGCTTACAAAGATGTCTTCTATTTATGGCATTGTTCATAATGATCAGGTAAAAATGAATCTGCTTACTTCCAAACAAGTGCTGTGGGAAATATTTGTGCCTGGAGTTTCTGTAAAAAATTCTTCTCTGATGAAACAAAGATACATCATTTATAGAAAAGAGTTCTTGAAGATTTTTTCTGGAATATTGGAAGAGTGAACTAAATAAAAAAATTACATAAATGAAAGCCTTTACTAGCATCTTTTAAAAGTACATATTTTGTACTACTTTCCAGAAACGTTTGTTAAAATCACCTTGCTGTGAAAGTATTCTCTTAAAAATGTCTTTGTTCTTTTGATTTATTATCCTTTTTCTTTTTAAATCTATAGTATCTTGGGGGCTGGGGATTTAGCTCAGCGGCATAAGCACCTGCCTTGCAAGCAGGCAGTCGTGAGTTCGATCCCTGGTACCGATAAAAAAAGGAAAAAGACAAAAAAAAAATTAAAAAAAAAAATCTATAGTATCTTCCTTGCTTGCTTACTTTTCCCGTCTGTAAGCATCTCTTCAAAATGTAAAGTTAATCTAAAAGAGACAGACAGAGAGAGAGAGAGAGAGAGAGAGAGAGAGAGAGAGAGCGCTTCTAGCTAGTCACTTTTCTGATGCTGGGATGAAATATCACAAATTAAAAGAGGAAAGATTTATTTTGGCTTACAGTTTCATAGATTTAATCCATGATCAGCTGATCCCTTTGCTTTAGGCCTAGTAGTGTGGCAGGAACCTCATGGCAGGAATGTGTGGTGGAAGTAAACTGCTCACCGCCTGACAGCCAGGAAATAGGGAGAGATGGAAAGAGTGAAACAGCCAGAAAGGAAGGAGTCAACCACCAAAGCATGCCTTAGAAAAGCATCCATCCACTGACCTGCCTGATCCAGTTAGAGGCACCCCCCGCCCCCCGGCCTTTTCAGTATGCCCACTGAGCTATGAACTCATTGTTGGATTAATCTACTTAATGAAGTTTGGTAATTCATGATCCATTCAGTTGCTCAAATCCCATCAGATGGCAACCAAGCCTTTCACACAATGAGGCTTTAGGGGACATTTTCCATTTCCAACTGTAACACTGTATTTTTGGAAACAGCCTAAAGACAATCAGACCACAAGTTGATTTATGTATTTGTGTATATGTGTGTGTTCTCTCTAGTTTCTGATGGAGAGCACACAAGTCCAGAGATGACCTTCACCATTCACTTACTTCCCACTGTCCAGCAACCACCAGCACCCCAGGTCACAGCACCCCTGCTTGAGATCAGCCGAGGAGGTCGTGCTTCTCTTGGTAAGAAGTGAGAGCCAAAAAGAAACACAGATCTGAAAATGGGACTATATTTCAGCAGCTGTCTCTCTTCAAGCTTCCTGTTGGTTTCCAAGAACAGTGACCTCTTTCTCAGAAGTTGTGATTATTCTCACCTCTACCTTTCCTCCTTCCCCTTCTTATGCTAATAGAGGCAGTACAGAGAGAAGGAAATAAACTCTTCCGAGGCCAATGCTTGTGATGGAATGCAGCACAGAATTTATTTCCCAGCCTCCCCAGTTTGATTTGTTGTAGTCACTGAAATATAAAATAGCAGAGAGGAGAATACAGGGAGCGAGTTTCAATGACTGCCCTTGTTTTCTGTTTAGAAAATGAAGAGGAATAGGAGAAATGATAAATTACAGTAACCTTCAGAAATCTGAAGAGTTAAGAGTTGGCCCTGTTATTCTGCACAATTGTATTTCCTTCTTGGTGTGCATATTCTTTGTTCTTTTTATACCAAGGGCATTTTACTAGCAAACAATGGGCATTGTGGTTTTTGTTAAATGTACTCTGTAGGTGCCTATATGGTTTCTATATGTGGACTTTGTCCTAAAATTAATCATCCAATTTCTCCATGTGAGTTTTGGCCAAAAATTAAACTGTCATCAAACTTACAAGCAGGCCACATTTATAATAACAAAGCTTACTCTTACCTTCTTCCTCACTTCCTGGAATGTTCAGGAAAACAATAAAAGAAAAAAACGAAAAGCAGAAAACAATTTATGGGAGTATTTTCTCAAGGGAAACCTAGCTCAGCTGGTCAAGACTGATTTACATCTGGCCCTTCTGTATATATATCCTGGTTTGTGTGGAAGAAAAAAGTGTGTTCCAGATTTCTGAATTCAGAATTGTCTACCTGAAGTGAATTTTTGGAAAACCCTGTTAACCATTTCTGAGTCAACTATTCGATCAGCTTTGGCTCTTGTGCTGGCCTTGCCTACAGATCACCCACACCCTGGCTTCCAGCCTAACCTTGGCTTTGATGTGTACAGAGAATGCAGTTGTCCCTGTGTCTGTCCTTTCCCCATGCTTTATTGTCTCACTGCAGGCCTCCAGGTGGTGGTAAGGGACACCCAGGCAGTCCCTGGAGAACTCTTCTTTGTGCTTCGGAAACCTCCTCGGCATGGTGTGCTCCTTAAGGACGCAGCTGGCTCCCCAGGACCCATGCTTGCAGGTAGCTGCACACACTCTCCTAGACTTGCAAGGGAGACTTTTTGTTCTACAGTTTTGTATATCTCAGAAAAAGCGTGAGTGTCTGTCTTTCTCTGATGTGTTATGAGGAAAGATCTCCTTTTGAGTTTGTCTCATTGGCCTAGACATTAAAGACCCTTTCCTCTACCCACCCCTGTACCCACTAACCAGAGTCCCCAAGCTCAGATGAGATTGTGCAGGTGAGATTGCTTGATTTCTAAGATTTGAGTAAATGCATTTAACACATTACAATACAAAGTGGCAACTGCCACTTTCCTATAAGCTTTTTTGAGATCAGTGTGTCTGACTTAATTTATTGTGTGAATCTTTACAATATTTTTTCCACTATGACTCTGATATGTTAGCTACATGTATCTTCATCCATAAAGGGGGTCATAGTTTTGAAATTTATATAAACTGTGTAATACCATCCTTTTAAATTAATGTTTATTATGTTTTCTCTATATTGATGATTTAGGGAGAACAGAAAATCCCAAAACAAAGTCTTAAGTTTTTAGTAGTCATATATTAAAGCGAATATTATCCCATCCAAAGTAACCATCTCGAAATGCCACATCTTATTCCAAAGAGCTTTACTTTCTTACAACTTTGATGTGGTTCCTTTTAGAACTGTAGTAATGCATTCTTCCAAATATCTCTGGTGGGACAAATCTTTGTCCTTGAAAGCAGATTGAATTTTTAAGAACCACCAGAATTGGCATTTGGGAATCACAAATGTAGACTTTCAAAAGAAGAAAAGAAAATACCATTAGAATACCTTTGTAGCAGACTAGAGATACCATTTTAGAGGCATGTGGTCATTGCCCTGTTTCTATAACATAACATTTAACCTATATTTATGTGATAAAAATATAATCTAAAGATGTGTATAAAAAGTTTTATTACCTTTTTTAGGTATAATTATGCCATCATTCGTGAAATTACTGTGTTGAGAGGGGTGACTTAGATTTATTAATATGGAGAATGAATAAATTCTTTGATAGACAAGGAATAAATTATTCGAATGAATAAATTCTTCAATACATAACACTAATCATTAGCAGCAGTAAATTGAAAATCTTTATTATTTGTGTATTAAAGATCCTTGAGGTTGGGGTGTACTCAGTGGTAGGGTACTTGCCTACTCGCAGGAGGCCCTGGCTTCAATCTCTGGCACTGAAAAGAAAAAGAAAAAAGAATTCTGTAATTCTAATAAACCCTGCAGTTTAAACCTATATTTTTAAGTTATGAATCCCATTCCCCCAAAACTTAGATGAACTTGAAACTTTTTTCATATAACATCTACATAATCTACTATGAACTAACTATAGACTATATAGTTCGAGTTTCTAATTTTATGTTTTTCAATTTTTAATTACAAACCTTTATACTTCCAATTAAAGACACTTACAGATTCATCAAGGATAATCTATTTTCTTAAGTTTTTCAGTACCAAGATTAGATTCTAGAAGCACTATCATAAAGAATAGAAGTTTGTTCTTTGTTTTTCTAGAAGTAGGACTGATGAATGAATCATATAGAGTAGATATTAACTCTATATGATTAAGAACTTTTAAAAAGCAAACAAATTATGGCTGTCTGCAGAGGAACTAGTTACCTTGATAAAGAACCTCTCCCCTTGGGAAGTACTGAAGGACAGAGTGGCCTACCTTTTACCAAGGGGTATAAAGGGAATCCTACAGTGGGTTGTGCTTGGACTAATTAATTTAAGACTCCTGAAATTTTTGACTCTGTATGTACTTGGAAATTCTGAGAACACAGGTGCTAAGTAAATGAAAGCCATTATTCCCAGCATCATTGGTTTTATGGTTTGTTTTATTCTTGGAAGGCGACACTTTCACATATGATGATGTTGAGAAAAATGCTCTGCAGTATGTACATGATGGTTCCTCTGCCCAAGAAGACAGCCTGGAGATCTCGGTCACTGATGGCCTGACGGTGACAGTGTTCCAAGTAAGAGTGGAGGTGTCACTGTCAGAGGACCCATGGCCTCGGCTGGCTGCTGGTTCTTCTCTGAGCATGACTGTTTCAAGCCACAGCACAACCACAATCACCAGGTCGCACCTTGCTTACGTGGTAAGGATTGCATTTGGTCCTCTCATTCCTCACCGTAGCTTCTGATCCAGCTGACTGGTAAGCCACACTCAGACTGAATATTTCAGTCAACAGATGTATAGGTCATATAAGAGACATTTTCTCAACTTCCCCTACAGTTCTTAGGGGTCATCATTCTGGATGTCGTGGTTTCTACTAATGTTGCAGGAACAGATGAATAAATGTGTAAAACTTTGATGAAAGCAGAGAGGGTGATTGGCAACAGGAAATAGTGTCAATGTTAGAAAAGTCCAAGTTCCACAGTCCAAGTGTTTTCCATGACATTTATAATGAGGATTTTAGGAAAACAGCATTTTAGAAGAATTTTCCTGACGCATGACTAATAAGTAATATCGCTTGGCTCCCTGAGGGGAATCTTGTTTTTCTCCAAAGTCGATTCTAGACAGAAGAAAGGCATCTCTTTGGCAGTACCTCTCTTCAGATTTCCATAGAGCAGATTACTGCCTCAGGCTCCATCTTCAGTTCTGAGAGAAGCAGCATAGTTAGGAGATCAAGGAGAATCTTGATAATTAAACTTATCTTTTTTTCTTTGATTCTGCCTCTGGAGTTAAGGATAATGAGGATAATTAACTTTACATTGCATTTATGTATATTATAAATAGATATGTACTCTGTATGTAAACATAATAATGAATAGTTTCTATAATGCCATGAAAGGAAGAATAATTACCTGGATAAGCATTCTTAGTATTGAATTCTTTCTTTACTAATCTTAAAATTGAATGATCTGGCTGGCTGGCTGACTATCTTAACAGCATATAGTTTTAAGTAACTCTTTTCTGAACTGAGAAATCTTGTTCTGAAATTTAGTCCTGAATACTAGCATGACAAAACACTGCTTTTCCAAAGATTTTTCCCCTTAAAATTGTCTTAAGTGATAGAAACTACATTCAAGTTCCATTCTTCTTATGGGCTTACTACAATTTCAAAACAGCTTTGTTTTTGTTTTAACTGAAAGGTAATTTTATGATCTTTTGAATCCCAAGAAACCTGTGAATTCATACAAATGTGTGAATTCAGATTTGATCAATAGATCACCAAGGCTTGAAAAATATTTGACAGTATCACTCCAGGAATGGTTCTTGTCTATTAACTGTGTATCATAGGCTGCACGTCAAAATGCAAGCCCATTGGCAACTGAAGGTAAATTTTCCAAAAATTGATTGAATGTGAATTTACCCACCACAGCAGAAAACTCCAGTGAAACTGTCTTGGTCTCCCAAAATCATGGCATGCACCCCTAAAGACATAGCTTGATTATGTATGAACTTTCTCTGAGGGTGTACTTACGTGTCTATAGTGAAACTTTTTTTCAAAAATGCTGGTGTGTTTTCAATGAAACCTAAAGTGCTTGGGAAAGTCACCTGAGATGCTAGTGGTAAATGGGGTAGAATAAAAGGAGACAGTAGGTGAGTCTGTTCATAGAGTACTGATAACCAGAAGAGAATGCTGTAGTGTTGGGAGGGATGAAAGATCGAAATGGGACTTTGGATGATTTGCCTCTTAGCAGTTGCTTAATGGGTGCACTTTGCTTTGTGCTGTAACTAAACAAGTAGAGGAGGGACAGCATGGGTTCTGGGTTTGAAGCGACAGCTAGTCCCTTACTAGCATAACGATCCTTGGCAAGTTGTTTAAATACGCTAGACCTCAATTTTCTCATCTGTAATATGAGTAGTATAAGATTAACCTCAAAAAGCTAATAGCATTTCTGTGCCC